TTAGTAAAGAGTGGACATTATGGGTTGGGTGGATGCTCTGGGCCCTCCCATGGAGCCCTGTACCAGAGTGGGAGCAGCCTATGGAGAGCCTCCCTCGTCACTGCCTCCAACAGGTACATACTAGGAAGAGTATTGGCATGTCAGGGCTAGAGACTTCATATCCATGGTGCATTGAAGCATCTGTGTCTTAGTCTTTTGAGCTGCCTCAGAAAAACCCTTGCAGCCACCTCTTAGCCCCATCCTAGTAGTGACTTCATAATAGGATTGCAACTACAGCAGCATTGGAGAGCTAACTTCCTTTACATAGGGCACCACTTTATGCCCAACATCACAAGCAATATTCCCTCTAAGCTGTGGAGTCTTTTGAGCAACAATTCATCTTTGTGAGTTACTGGCATTAAAGTTGTGAGCAAGCGATTTGGCTACTGCATAAATCAGTTTGCTTTGGAGCCATCCTTCCTGAGCTAAGACAAAAATATGTGAGCCAGAGGCTAAAAAACTGTGAGCTAGCTCACACTAACTCAGCTTAGAGGGAACACTGATCAAAGCATATGCCTGCTTATGCTTAGGGATGCCAGCCTCCAGTGGGACCTGGGTATCCTCCAGGATTACAGCTCATCTCTAGGCTACAGAGATCAGTTTCCTAGGAGAAAATGGATGTTTGGACTCTGTGGCATTGTGCCCCACTGAGGTTGCTGTCCTCCCTAGGCCCCATCTCCAAATCTGCAGAATCTGGCAACCCTAACCCCATCCCCCGCCATTGTCCAGGGTGGACTTGGCAACCCTAAGTTATATAGTCTGTAATATGAATAATATTTCCTTGGTTTTGTACTTGCAAAATAAAAGTCCAGTGGCATCTTAAAGACTAGCACTATTTATTTCAATAAGAGCTGTCATGGGTCAGAGCTCACTTCATTAGATGGCCATGGAAAGGGACCCAATAGCTTCCTATATTTATGCATCTATGAGGAATAGTATGCTTGGTTTGTAGGTGTCTTTTTTTTGTTTTGTTATCCTCATCCCCCAGAAGTGTCCTTAGTTGAATCGTATACTGGTATTTAAACTTGGGGAGTGTAAAAACAATTTGAGAATTCAGAAGGGGCACTACTAGAGGTCTCGGAAGCTAAGCAGGTTCGGCCCTGGCTAGTATTTGGATGGGAGACCTCCAAGGAACAGCAGGGGAAAAGCTAGATGCAGTTATGAAATGCCTGAACTTTGGGTGAAATCTTGGAAATCTCATCATTGTGTCTGGTTGTTCTGATGTTGCCAAGGTGTGGATCTTGAGCGATTTTCTGTGTCCCACACATTTTTCAAAGGTAAGTTTGGGAACAGAATGTCTGAATTTGCCTTGAAATGTACAGCAAGTCCTGTGGAAGGTAGGTACAGAAAAGTGTACTTTGGAATTTACATAATTCAGCAAGCTACTTTTTCCTCCTCTCTCAGCTGCCAACCTAGCTGTTTGGCTAACATCCACTGTAATCTGTTCTCCTTCATTATGTTAATCTGTGGGCGGAAAGATTTCTGTCATCTTCAAATCGCTTGTACAGCAATGGTAAACACCTTGGCCTGTCTGTAATTGGACAGGTGTCTGCATTGGTGTCACCCAGCTTTTAATTCAATTAAAGGAACTGCCTGCTCTGCTCTCATTACCCACTCATTTCCTCTGCACTTCCAGTCAGTCAGTGAAATTTACACTCCGCGCCTGCCTATACTGTAATACAAAGTCAGCAGCCCCATAACTAAGATAATCATTGATGTACAAGCACATTAATTTATAGCTGAGCAAATTAAATTATGCATTGTTAAGAAAATGTTCAGAGATGATCATAGACACACATAGTATGTTGTAAAAACAAATTTTATTAAAATACTTGTTCACTTAGTATGATGGCCCCCACTAGATGTTCAAGCACTGGATTTGGATCCCAAACTGCACCATGACTGCCTGCATTTGCCATAATAGTCACTTACTTTGACTCAGTAATATGCAGATAAACCCAGGTGTTGGATCTTCTTGACTCATATATATAGAGCTCCACTTTATTTCCAAAAGCTACATGCACTTCTTTCTAGATAGAACATGGTTTGTGGTTGAATAGATTATATGGTGGTCCAGCAAAAGACTAGCTGAATTATGACTTTTGAAAAAGTCGAAAGGTGAAACAAGAATAAAATATTAAAAATGAAAAGTATCATTAAAAAAAACACCCAACAGTGATTCAACACAAATTCTACACTGTTTGAAATTCTCTTTTTAACTGAGTAAATGGTGTTTGTCAACAATATTATGATCCATTTTTGTCTTTGTGCTGATAATACTTCTGCAATGCGGTGAGTTTTTTCTTTTTTTAAAAAATAAGTCAGTGCAAGATCTAGTCTTTAAAAATCCACATTGTAGATTACAGACAGTAAATCAATTGAAGGTACCACTCTTTCTGCCCAGTGAAGGGAACCTTTGGAAATAAATTAAAATTCTAACACAGACATTTTGACACAGTGACCCCATGAAACTGAATAATGTCATTTGTTAAATATGGATGTAAAGTTAAGAATGTAACAGCAGACTGAAATCACACCTAGCATAAGAGGTCCACTTAATATGCAAAGCAAGTTTTCCATTTTATTAAAATATCCACTGTTTAATTATTAGTAATATTTAATTTAGTATCTGTTTAGGCAGATAAACCTTGAGGCCTTATTTTAATATATCTGAGGAAAATGAAGAAAACGTATAAGAACCAACAGTGTTGTACCATTAATTCCAGGTTTCTAAAACTGCTATTTTTATACCATTCTCACACACAAAAATCACAATTGCTAGAAAGCACATGAAATAAAAAATACCAAGAGTTTCCAATATGTTTTCCCTATACAACATGAGGTTCATTAAATACCAACTGCATTTCCTAGAAAGTTTAAGATGAAACAATTTTATTTTCAAAATCGGGTGCTGTAAGAAACAGAAGTGTGGCTGACCAGTGCAACACCTGGGCTTCTGAACTAGTGTGATGGTAGATAAAAAGTGTACAGAAATAAATTCTAAACAATACAAAAGCTATTTAATGTCCAAGATAATTAATGTTCTTATCACTCCATAAAGGCTGGGACTTCATCAAAAAGAGGTGCAGTAATTTAATGAATTGTTCTTCTGTCATCTTGTCGTGTATAGTGCCAAGGAGGACCTTATAGACCTTGATTAAAAGGCCCAAACTACACATCTGCTGTACTTGTGGGCAATGTTCCCTCTAAGTCGTGGAGTCTTGTGAGCAAAAATTTCTGCTTTGTGAGCTTCTGGCATTAAAGTTGTGAGCAAATTATTTGGCTACTGCATAAATTAGTTTGCTCCGGAGCCATCCTTCTTGAGCTAGGACAAAAGTGTGTGAGCCGGAGGCTAAAAAACTGTGAGCTAGCTCACACTAACTCAGCTTAGAGGGAACACTGCTTGTGGGTATTTAAACCCCAATAGCTGCTGCTTCTAGGGCAAAGCAGCTGTAAGTGGGTGTGAGTTTCAGTGGAGAAGTCTGCTTAATCCATCCTCAACTTTTCCACATCTCATTTGATCCCTGAGTGACTGCCCAAGAGATTGACATGTCAGAAAGTCCTCAGTTCAAAGTTTCTCTCTGCCAAATGAACCTACTAGTTGCCCTAGAGCAAGCCACTTTCTCTCTACTTCAGTTTCCATCTGCACTGCAGTAGTAATATAGACCTACCTCACAGATTCGTAATGTCAATTGAACACTGCAATGTGTTGTATAAACATTAAACATTATTTGTATCTATTTGTAAAATTTTGAACTTGCAATATAACCACACAAAAAGTGCCCTCCAACTCTTCCTTCAGGATTCCTAAATAATTTTCCGGGTGCATTGTTGTGACAGGGGAAACTCAGGGGTGTGTATAATGGATCTGAAGTGTAGGAACCCAAGTAAATGAGCTTAAAAGCAGGAGTTAATGGGGAAAGTAAGTAATGTCAAATAGGCTTTAAACCATTTAATATGTTTGGCTCCCCCAAGGAAAGTCCTACTGTTCTCAATTCTTGTTTTTTAAAGCAAGCATACAGAAAAATTTCTTTGACCTGCTTTTATGGTTAGTGGCCCAGTTTGAGAAAGTATTTTTGCTTTAAAAGAGCAAATGAGAGAAACAAATAAACTTCAGCAGCCCTTAAAACTGTACAATAAATGGATGGGTTCTTCTTCTATTATTACATTTGCCCCTGAATTTTCCCTCAAACTTAGTGAGATACAAATGTGAGATTTCTTCTTTGCTGTAATATTCCCATCTGAAGAGTTCTGAGTGAAGCAAAAAAAAAAAAAAAAGTTTCCTGGTTCCCACCGAATTTCACCCTGAACAAAAATGGTGTTGAAAATGGAAGTTTTCCCCAACCTGGATTCTAAAAGAAATATCAAGAAATGCAACTTTTCTCAGATGGTGCTTCCTTTGAGTTGCCAGCTTCCCTGGAGATTTAGGACTGGAGCCTAGGAAAGGTAGTGGGAGAGGTCTCATCAGAGTCCACCCTCCAAAGCAGCCATTTTCTCCAGGGGAATTGATCTCTGTCATCTGGACATCAGTTGTAATTCCAGATCTCTAGCCCCCTACCTGGAGATTGGCAAATTTATATGAATAAAAGGGGTCCTTCCATATGTGGAAGATATTTTCAATTTATTGAAAAGCTACTCGTGCTAGAATACTGTCTAAGAAAATTAAATTAAATGCAAAGTAATGATGAAAGAAGTTTGTGCAGTCTCTTGATCCAGTAGAGGGATGAAGACTGCTACAGAGTTTGACTTGTATCATTGTAGGAGCTTTTGCACCAGTGCTTGCAGAACCACACTGGTGGCTACTTTCTTTTCTCCTGTTTTTTTTTTTTTAATCCAACCTGTTACATGGTACTAAATTGGCTGTTGTGGACCAACCTTAAGTCCTATGTATGTGGGTAGCCCATGGTATTTCTCATCTGCTACCGTACACAGATGTAAAGCATTGGTTCTTTCTGTTGCAGGCATACTGACAGGCTTGCAGCCCTTCACAACATATGATGTAACCCTAACAGCTTGCACTTTGGCTGGCTGTACTGAAAGCTCACATGCCTTGAACATCTCCACTCCACAAGAAGGTAAAGTAATTTCAAAGGTCTTGACTTCCACATTTCAGTCATGAATAATAAAATAGGAGAGGAGCTAAATGCTGCAAAGCCATTTGCTGGAAAACCCCAACCTAATTTGATGACAAAGTGCATTGCCAGACCATAATTGCTCCATTTTTTGGGGGGTGCTAAAATGAATCAAACTCCATACCCTTTAATGACATGCATCTTTAATAGCTGTAATGCAGATTAATGGGCTTTTTAATTGCTGTTACATTGTTCATGCAAGAGCCTTGTCATTAATATGAAGCATCTGAAAGATTAATGAAAGCTTCCTCATTTTACTATGGCTCAGAAGTAAATCTAGAGACAGTCTGACTAAAAAGAATTGATTGTATGGCACAGTATGAAATTGAGAATCAAACGGTTGATTTCCATGGTCTCTTTTAACTGCTAAACACCAGCATAGGCAACAATTATTTCAGCCTGATGGAACCTCAAAATGCCAATTGGGCCGTTTATTAATCTGTTGTACTTGAAACTTAAAAGTTGCAAGCATAAATTACTATTTCTGAAGCTGGCATTAAGCATGAGAGCAGCAAGAAAGAGAAAATATGTTGCAGTTCTGCCTTTAGACACAAGCTCAATAATTTCTGTACATCAATTATAGAAGAAATAGTTCTCAAAAGATTTGCAGCATATTTATCTTAAACATTTTTTAAAAAAATGGAGCCCCATTTTAAACTTGTGCCAGTCTAAATCCACAGTCTTTCTCATGAAATGTCTTGTTTGCTGACGGCCATGAAAGCAGATTTGGCTTTCAGCATTATTTTAATTGCTAAAATGAAATAGATTTTTCTGCTTTTAAAAAGGCCTTTCTATGTTAATGCAACTTTATTTTTAGCCCTCTTGTTATCTAGAAATAATGATAATAACTGCTAAACTTCTGTATTTTACTTCAAAGTGATCCAGCAGCAAGCAGTTAAAATGAAAATGATGCTCTTACCATCTAATGGGAAGTTCAGAGACCATACTGTTCATGTGCAACAGTGGTTTTCACTTGAGAATTTGTCTTTCTTTTTCCCACAAACATACTCTGCTATCACAGATCGTTGGCTTTCATAACTCTATGTGACCTCCCAGCTATTTTAGAATCTACATAGGCAAAATAATTGGGGTTCATGTATTTCTTCAGAATCCTTATTTCTGATATGTGATCCATGAGCTCCAGTTGTTATTGCATGTTGCATCAGAAACACATGCAGTCATGTGCTATTGGGTTCAAACTAGGATCCATGCAGATCTGTCATGCTTCCAAGGGCCCTGATTGGCTGTTACTAATGCACTGAATTTTCGAGCAAGGGTTAAAGGGGATGGGTAGTTTCAAGAAATGGGCAGGACTTTGACCTGTCCATCACAGTTCTCCTCTTGTGCATTTATATAATCTCTCAATAAAATTTGCAAGGCAAAAGGAACAAAATGACAAGCAGTCAAAATCCAATAAAACATGTTTTAAATAGAAAAAGTAACATTGACAGCTAGAATCTAGATATGCTAAAGATAAACTTCAAGGGTTCGTTGTGGAACAATCAGAATGGGACACATTATTATATGAAACAAATGATAAATTAAGACATTTTCTGTGTATTTGTTACAGATAATGGTGGAGGATGAGGTGATTAAAGAATGTATGTTAAAATGGGCCCAGAATTTTGGTTTTAATATTGATCTTGACCGTTGGTTGCAAATATGGAAAACAAATGTGGAAAACAAATGTTAAAATAACAAAATTGGTTGCCTTTAAAGAGAATTTATATAAAATGTTTTATAGGTGGCATATATCGCCAGAGAAATTGGCCAGAATGTATCCTGGAATGTCAGTTAAATGCTAGAAATGTAAGATACAGGTGGGAAGCTATTTTCATGTTTGGTGGAAGTGTAAACATAACAGAAGATTTTAGCAATTTGATAAAGCAACACTAGTTTTAGTAATTACACAAAAGAAAGAGAGCTGGAAACAAAGAATTATGACCAAAAACATGTAACAGCTATTATTAAAACTTGATGGAACTTCCCTTTATGTCTTATCCCATACCCTGTACCCTTCCTGCCCTTATATTTTCCTGTCCTATAATATGTTAAAATCTAATTGAAAAGTTAATAATAAAAAAGAAAAAGTAACATTGAAAGGATCGAAACCAAACTAAAACAGTCATGCTAAAAGAAGTAGAAAGTTCTCTTTTTCCTTGGAAATCTCTTCTCTCAGACACTTCCTATAGCTCCTTTTCCTGCAAACATATAATAGCGAAAAAATAAGAATGCCTTAGTAAACCCAGGCCTTATCCTGTGATCAAAAAGATCATGTTGGCATCTTGCAAATGGCCTAATTTGTTTATTTATCAAATTTATAACCGCCCTCCCCACAGAGCAGGCTCAGGGCAGCTTCCATACAAACATAAATACAACTTAAAATCATACAATTTAAAAACAGATAAAACAAATACAAAGTGCTGGCGGCAATTAAAATTAACTTAGATGGCATATTTTCAAGATGGATTTCCGCTTCCCGGATGTTCTCCTGCTCGTAATTTCTTGTGGCATCAGCTCGATGTTAAAACCATGGGCCAGGGCTCTACGGTAGCGGCAGCCCCTAATTAAATGCCTGGCGGAAGAGCTCCATCTTGCAGGCCCTGCAGAACTGTGAAAGGTCTGCAGGGCATCCCATCAATAAGGTGCCACAACAGAGAAGTTAGCAGTCCTTTTCACCATTGAGTGTAGGATGGATACAAAGCAGGCCTCTAATACAGATCTTACAGGTGTGCACTGAAAAAATGCACCCCAAATGGAGTGCACTGTTTTAATTTCAGATCCAGGACTCAGGTTGCAATTTTTAATTATCCATATATCCATCCATCCATGCATCCAGGATTTCTGGGTGTCTCATTACCATTCCAGGATTCCATTCTGTTCTGTTCCATTTTGTTCTGGGGTTTTATGTTTTTGTTTTGAATTCTGAAACTTTGGGACCATGACTTCCTATGGGAGAATCAATCTGGAAATCTGAGACAGTTTTTTTTAAGCTAATGGCACCAAATTTGCACTAGAAGTAGAAAGCAGCCCTCCCTCTACACTAAAGACCCCCAAGTTTTATGGACTCCTGAAGAAGGTGTTCCCCTCAGGGCTGGCTCTTCCACTAGGCAAACTAGGGCGACGGCCTAGGGTGTAGATCTCTGAAGGGCACAGTGAGACCCCTGTTGCTGCTGTCCGCCCCCAGCATGGCTTTCTGGGCGCTCCTGCTCCACAGCGCACCCCTTCCCACCGGCTCGCTTCACCTCACGCCCCTGCCTCCTTGATCATGCACCATAGCATGTTCTGACTCTGCCCCCTCCCCCCACCCCACTCATTTGAAGTCAGTCGGCCCTCCACCAGCAACCTGGGTGAGAAACGCTTGCGCTTATTCTGGTGCCTTTAAAGAGGTCTCCAGGTCTGGATTGCAACTTGAACCCGGTTCTGTTCTTTCCCTGAATCTGTGTCATGGTAAGATTAAAGGGCGCAGAGAGGTGCAGACACCGGGCCCGAATCGATACTTCTCTATGGCAGGGGTTGCCTTTTTGGAAAAACTGGGGGGGAGGTTGGGCCCATGATGGAGAGAGAAGGAGTTTTGGAGAGAGAAGGCAGAGGGAAGGGGGAAGGTGGGGGGTGGCTGCAAAGGCAGCGGGCGGGGTGGTGTGGTAAAGGAGCACCGCTGGGCACCCACCCACACTTTCCCTGCCACCTCTTGATGCTCTTCCTTGAACTCGCGCCTGAGGGAGACATTCAAGGGGTACAGCCATTTTGCTCTACAAACTGAACCATCGAGATCTCGGGCCTCTGTGGGGGTGTATTTATGCAGAAATGCCTCCTCGTGTTTCCAGATGGGTTCCGTCGACACCCGCCCCCTGCTGCTTTAGTGGGCTCATATGCTGCACTCCGTGAGAGGTGGGCTATGTTGGGGTAGCAGGTCAAAAGAGGAGAGGCTTTAGAGTCAACCTTGAGCTGCCCAGTTCGATTCGACAAAGGGGCTGGGAGACCTGAAGACAGGTGTGCAGCCAAAGAGGTGCCCCTTCTCTGTGCCCGTTGTGTGCCTCTTTTCCATTCTCAGTTCACAGGCTTTACTACATGTGGCTATGCACTCCATTCATGATGCTACCAGAAGATCCCTGGGCTCTCTTCTTATACAGGTGTGCACCATTATGCACTTACAAGGAGCTGAAGCTCTTTTCCCCACTCTCTCTCTTTCTGCTGGCTTTGCATCCTCTAATCCGGGCCCTCCCCCAAGTGCCCCAAGTATTACTGTGCTAATTGTTACTGTAGAACCAGATCAGGAGCAAAGACACTGAGATTGTGAGCTTTCGAACCCCTAAAGGTCAGAGCACAAAAACACATCAAAAGCCATTAAAACCAGAATAAAACCATATTGTTTAAAAATGTAAACCAATTTCAAATGAGCAATTTCTAATTTTGTGTTTTTAATTCTTTCTAAAATGCATTTATGTTTGAAAATTGGTGGGCGCACGGGGGTGGTGGTGGTGCCAGAAGGTAGCCTCGCCTAGTGTGCAAAAAACCCTGGAGCCGGCCCTGGTTCCCCTGCATCCTTGTCTGCATTGTTTGTTGGGAAAACACTATGCTATGCTTCAGGAAAGGAAGGACCTAAATGGTCCCAGACTTAGCTGGCTGGCATACCTTGCTGGTGGCTCCAGGGTCATTTTGCAGTCCTCCCTACCTGTAATAATTTCCCTGTTGCTGGCATCAGAGGTGGCACCTGGAAAATGGTAGGCAGGCTGGTAAGTGGGTTATTGGAATCCAGAAAGACTTGGCTGCTCACATAGCAATCTCCACCACCCACAAAAATACACAAAAGAGGGGGGGGGAAACAGACTGAAGAATCACCCCCCTGGCCCATATAAAATGAAATTGGGGGAGCGAACAGATTAAAAAACAAACAAACAAACCCTACAACTACAAGATTTTTTTAAACTACAGCTCCAAGA